CATCTCCCGTCCCTCTCCTTATTATATATTCATGGGAGAGCGCTAAATCCATAAGGATTATACAACACCTGTAGGGGAGGGGGGATGGAAGGTATTCAGGCTCAATTCAGCTGCTCACCAGCGTCAAGGAACCTCTCTTGAGGGGCCCGCCCCTCAGTGCAGGCCGCCAAAATCAATATTCCTTAAAACATAGGTTGCAAGACTCTAACACTGAAAGCCCTTTCATCTCCCCTCCTAGTCAATACATACAAGCTGTCAGGATATTCTTCCCCACAGTTCAGACAGCCAATATTTTCCTCGCCTCTCAGTCATTTCCTTATAGGCCTCTAGAACCTCGTCTTCTTTATACACATAACCTCTATAAATAACATTTCCCCCTCACATTAGAAGCTAGACTATCTTAAACCATTGTAGAGAAAAAACATTCTTTCATTAAAAAAAATTCCTTACACAGTAATGTATTTCCGGTAAATATTAATTTCCTGACAAGCGACAAAGCAATGTAAATCGAGTCTGCATAGCTTTTGTGGAAAATTGTTATTTATTTTCATAAATGCGTTTTGGCACCAAAATTTTGGCCAGTGGAAGAGGCTGTCAAGAGCAACCCATAAGACAGGTTGTTGTGCTGAAGGCCGCTTTCCCGCGCTCGCATTTCATTGGTAGAAACTCTTTGTTTATTTACATTCATTACAACCAGTCACAGGGAACGTTCTGTAAGGTTGCAATTTGCTACTGTACTTGTAACATGGTCAGTGATTTGCTGTCTGAATGTAAACATTAACTCCGGCCAATGGGAGATCAGTTACCAGCAGATGATTGTTTCAGAGCTTCGCCCCTTTGATGACGTCAGCACGGGCGTTCAGAGCAGCAACACAGCTTATGAGTTGCTGTTTCAACTCGGCCCCATCACACCATATTTGCCTCCGAAACGTGCAAAACTTTATTTTATTATTTATTTATTATTTATTCATTTTACATCCACTTTTCTTGGATCGAATCTGAATGCCTTCCATATACTGCATTCCCTGATTAAATTCAATTTTTATAATGATAATAATAATAATAATAATAATAATAATAATAATAATAATAATAGTAATAATAATAATAATAATAATAATAATAATATAAGAGTAAGAAGCTCACTCACACTTGTTCCTTGATGTCTCCTTTTTCTCAATACATTACAGACAAATGATTATCAAATGGTATACAATACCGACAGGTTGGTAGATAAGACACATAGGCAACATTTAGGCAACTTTATTCCGAAACGTTTCGCCTACACAGTAGGCTTCTTCAGTCGAGTACAGAAAGTAGGCAGGAGTTCCTGCCTACTTTCTGTACTCGACTGAAGAAGCCTACTGTGTAGGCGAAACGTTTCTGAATAAAGTTGCCTAAATGTTGCCTATGTGTCTTATCTACCACGTTACAGACAACCATAATCTAGCAAAGGTTTTCCGTCTCACTCTACAGGCCACCAAGATCAAAAGTTTCCCTTCTCTAACACTGCAGGCCCTCCCATCTCCCGTCCCTCTCCTTATTATATAATCATGGGAGAGCGCTAAACCCATAAGGATTATACAACACCTGTAGGGGAGGGGGGATGGAAGGTATTCAGGCTCAATTCAGGGAACTGGAGCATAGACCCAATTCCCTAGATCAAGAGCTGCTCACCAGCGTCAAGGAACCTCTCTTGAGGGGCCCGCCCCTCATTGTAGGCCGCCAAAATCAATATTCCTTAAAACATAGGTTGCAAGACTCTCTCTAACATTGAAGGCCCTTTCATCTCCCCTCCTAGTCAATACATACAAGCTGTCAGGATATTCTTCCCCACAGTACAGACAGCCAACATCTTCTTCGCCTCTCAGTCATTTCCTTATAGGCTTCTAGAACCTCGTCTTCATTATACACATAACCTCTATAAATAACATTTCCCCCTCACGTTACAAGCCGCTTACATTACAGAGACATATTTTCATTAAAAAAAATACCTTACATTGTAATTTATTTCTGGTCCACATTAATTTCCTAACTACATACTATACACACTCATTGCCAAGTGACAAAGCAATCTGCGTAGCATTTTTTGTGGTAAAATGTGGTTTTTGACACCAAAATTTTGGCCAGTGGAAGAGGCTGTCAAGAGCAACCCATAAGACAGGTTGTTGTGCTGAAGGCCGCTTTCCCGCGCTCGCATTTCATTGGTAGAAACTCTTTGTTTATTTACATTCATTACAACCAGTCACAGGGAACGTTGCAATTTCCTACTGCACTTGTAACATGGCCGCTGATTTGCTGTCTGAATGTAAACATTAGCTCCGGCCAATGGGAGATCAGTTACCAGCATATGATTGTTTCAGAGCTCCGCCCCTTTGATGGCGTTAGCACGGGCGTTCAGAGCAGCAACACAGCTTATGAGTTGCTGTTTCAACTCTGCTCCATCGCAACATAATATGCCTCTAAAAAAAAAAACTGAATTTTATTTACTCCTTACTTTCCTTGGATCAAATCTGAATGCCTTCCATTTACTGCATTCCTCGATTAAAATGCATAATAAATAAATACTGTTTCCCATTCCCTAACGCTGTATGACCTCTACGGGTTTAGCGTTTCCTCCCATGAATGCAAAACTTTGTATAATTATTTATTATTATAATCAAAAAGAAACTTTGTATAATAAAATGATCACTTATAAGCATTTTGTTTTGCTATATTATGCAGAAAGGATAAATAAAGTTTTCTAACTATAAAAGTATATTTATTTATTAGGTTATAAACAAGAGAGTAAGCAGCTCAGACATGTACCTTCATGTCATCTTTTGTCAATACATTACAGACAATCATAGTAATAATTTGTCCTTCACATTACATTATTATTATAATCAAGGGGGAAGCGCTAAACCCGGAGGATTATACAGCGCCTGTGGGGGGGATGTGGAAGGCATTCAGGCTTAATTCGGGGAACTGGAGCACAGATCCAATTCCCTAAATCAAGAGCCCCTCACCAACATCAAGGAACCTTCCTTGAGGGGTCTTCACATTACAGGTTGCATTGCCACCATAAGAATTTAAACTGTAAGGATTGTCCCATACCAACACTACTACCGGCTGCTAGCTAGTGTCTTCCCTATCTCGCTCTACAGACCACCAAGATCAAGAATCTCCCCTCTGACACTGCAGGCCCTGTTCCCCCTCTCAGTACAGGCTGCCAGGATCAATCTTCTTCCCTAAGACTACAGTTACAAGAATCTCTAATACTGCAGGCATTCTCATCTCCCCCCTCCCCTCCTCTCAGTACAGGCTGCCATAATCAATCTTCCTCCCTCAAACTACAGGATGCAAAAATCTCCCCTGATATTGCAGGCCCCTCTCATCTCCCCTCTCTATCAGTACAGGCTGCCTGGATCAATCTTCCTCAAACTACAGGCTGCAAGAATCTCCCCTCCCTAACATTGCAATCCCTCTCATCTTTCCTCCCAGTCAATACATACTGGCTCCCATTTCCTCATAGGTTTTCAGAACCTACTAGCCTTTCCCATACAAATCCTCTAGAACATTTCCTCCCTCACAATACAGGCCGCTAGAATATCTCTAGCTTTAATTTAATTAGAAAGAAACATTCTTCTTACATAAAAAAAATTGCCTTGCAATCTAATTTAGTTCCGGTCCACATTAATTCTTAACTACACTGCCAGGACTCTTATGAACCTTTTTTTTTTTTGTAGAGAATGATAATTAATTTAAAATGAGTTTTGACGCCAAAATTTTGGCTTGAGGAAATGGCTGTCAAGAGCAACCCATAAGACAGGTTGTTGTGCTGAAGGTCACTTTCCCGTGCTCCTATTTCATTGATAGAAACTGTTTATTTACATCCATTTCAGCCAATCACAGGAAACGTATTGTAAGGGGGCAACTTCCTGCTGTACTTGTAACATGGTCAGTGATTTGCTGTCTGAATGTAAACATTAGGTCCAGCCAATGGGAGTTCAGGATCCAGCAGATGAATGTTTCCGAGCTCCGCCCCCTTGATGACGTCAGCACGTGTGTTCAGAGCAGCAACACAGGTTATGAGTTGCCGTTTGTGTACATTACATAAGACTCAGATTTAGTTAGGTGCAATAAAAGGCGTCTGTTAAACCTTGCATTTGTGGTCATAGTGGTGCTTATGCTAACCTTCCTATGGTGTATAAGTATACCTAGTTGGATGAATCTTATTGAAGCTAAACGGCCCAGTTCTTTTTGATTATAATAATAATAAATGGCCCAGTGGCTAACGTGACAGTCTGGAGTTTTGAGACTCTCTCTGACCGTGGGATAAAACCCCACCTGTGTATGGTTTATCGAAGAGATTTCTTTAAAGGTTTTCCAACATCAAGTAGTATTATATTCACAAATTGTTCCAAACCTTTACAAGTTAAAATACCATCTAGATGGCTGAGCTCCAGCTTTGGGGCCTGCTACTTACGATATTTGCTGAAGGTGCTAAACCCATAAGGGTCATATAGCACCTAGAAAATAGGAGGTTAAGCTTCATCCTAAGAAGGAGAGGTTAAGTCCAGTTCTTTAAACAAAGAACTCACCAGCATCAGGGCACCCCCTTCCCCCACCCCCTTGAAAGTTCTGAGGCACATATATATTAATCTGTAGAGAAGCGCTGGATTTGTAGTGATCAAACATTATATTAAGTTGTACAATGTCTGCAGAATAGGTGGTAATCAGGTTTGATATAAGAAAGGGGAGGGCAGCACCAATTCCTTGAATTAAGAGCCCTTCAGCATATGCACCCTCCTTCAAAGGTGAAAGTTATTATTTTTTTCCTCAACGAACCCACTGTATCCCAAGGTAGGGTGGCCTAAAGAGAGAAAAAAAGTTTTTTCTTTTTTTAAATTTAGTAATTTATACAAGAGAAGGGGTTACTAGCTCCCTACTCTCATTATTATTATTATTATTATTATTATTATTATTATTAGTGTGGGGAAGGATTCAGGGAAAACCAGTTAGTCAGAAAGGGGCATAAAATATACATACATATTCACAAAAAGCACAAAAGCTGTGGATCCTTCAAGGCTGCATGGCAAAAGGGTAACAGATGTTAGGGAAAAAAAAGTAAAAAAGGTGAAGAATGAGTATAACAATGAAAGGTTAGCCAAAGCTGGTGCAGTACATCAGTTTCAGTTACATCAGAAAGAATCTGTATTAAATGTGGAATTTTCAGAGACAAGGGCAGAGTAAGAATGTCAAGAGAGCTAAGAGGTTGACAAAGAAGTCAGCATGCTCTCTGGTGAATTTTGCAACATATAAGATGTTGGACCATCAGCACATGACATTTTTTTTGCAGTGGCACTGGGTACCTCTCCACAAGACAACCATGTGAAAGTTCAGTGTTATCAATATGCATTTGTTCAAGTATTATTATTATTATTATTACATACATGGGGGGGTAACACTAAACCTATATGGGTCACACAGTGCCTTGGGGAATGGATGGCATTCAGGGTTGATTCAGGGAATTGGGACACTCGTTCAATTCCTTAGATCAAGAGCCCCTCATCAGCATCAAGGAACCTTCCTTGAGGGGAGCTGAAGTACTGCATCCCACAGCTGATAATAATGAAAAGATGTCGGCCAGAACTTCAATTGCAGTCTGAATAAAAAAAAAGCTTGTTGGACACTAAAGCAGATGAACAATGCTGCCAGCTTCCTTGCAAGTGCTGAGTTATTAGTGAAAAAGTCAGAAAAGAGCAGTAGCATGATAAGATTGAAAAACCTTGAACTGTAAAATATGCACTGATGTTCATACCTCTACTGCTTGACTGCCAGAAAAAATAAAAATAACTACATGATCATGTTTGCAAATGATTTAAAAGTTTTATGTAAATATAGTAATGACAATTACTGAAAATTCCTATAAGAAGACATAAATTAAGCAAATGGAATGACAGATGGATGGCAGAATTTAATATAGACATTAAGTCCCACAAAATGGGAAGAAAAGGCAAGCAAGAACATTTCACATAAATATAAAGTGACAGAGTACTGAAAGCAATTATTGTATGAGAAAGCCAAATACTGTAGGCAATCCAACTATAACCAATTTTGAAGGCACTCTCCAAAGTGCTAATTATACATTTTGTGCTTAGATAATTCAGTTTTTGTTTTAAATAAGTGGCAGATAAACAAACAATAACTTTAGAGTACATATTGTTATACTTTCATCATAAACAATTATAAAAAGTGATGGCATCTTGCACTCCAACTTAAAATGCCCAGGTTTACACTCCAGTACTTGCTAGCTGTCTCCCACTGAGCCAGGATGATGCCAAAATAAAAACACTTTCACCATCATTCATACATAATCACTGTCTATGTAGAGGTGCAAAGATATGACAGCTCAGATGCCACTCCAAACAGCCAAGGAAAAACGACTTATATACAGTGGACCCCCGGATAACGATCAGCTCCCAACTCGACCAATTATGTAAGTTTATTTTTGTAAGTGCTTTTGTAGGTGTATTTTTAGGGGTCTGAAAAGGACTAATCTAATTCACAATATTTCTTATGGGAACAAATTCTGTCTATAACGGCACCCAAACAGACTTCTGGATTGAAATAATATCGTTATGCGGGGGTCCACTGTATAGGGTTCACTATCTGTGGCAGGTCCTTGGAACATATCCCCCATGGACACAGGGGTCCTACTGTATAATCAAACATTGTATAACCTCAGCATGGGAATCTATGATGTATTATTACTATGATTACCAATGATAGCCCTAGATAAAAAAAAAATTGTTGAACAGAAAATAACTGAATTGCCGTGATTGATACATTAATAACTTGTTACAATGTTAAAAAAATGATAAACTTCATCCTTATCATAAACTGCAACCTTGGTATTACATATCTTACATGTAACTGGGTGAAATACCTCATCTTCATTACCTGAAAAAGTAGCTTTGTGAGGTAAGGAAAATGGTTTAATTTCTGCAGCAACTGTGGTGGCTGAAACAGTATTATTTTTTTCACAAGTAACTTCCTTTTCATCCATGGTCCTGCTGCCATGGGGCTCTCTGGTGGCAGCATTGCTATCTGGCTCTACCTGTAGCAGTTTACTGCCATCTGACTTTATCTGCAACATGTCCCTGGTATTTGACTCCATCTGTGGCATGTCACGGCTATCTGGCTCCACCTGTGGTATGTCAATGATATCCAGCTCCATGTTACTGATATCTGGCTCCGTCTGTGGCATCTTGCTGCTATCAGGCTCACTCCGTGGTATCTCACTGCTAGCCTGTGAGCTCTGGGCACCCTCTTCAATTTTTTGTTTACCCTTGCTTTTTCTTTTATTTTTGAAAAAATCCCGCTTCTTCTGGCTTTTACTTGGAAACTTCAATTTCTCCATCATATCTACATTACAGTTGAAAACAAACATTGCCCGATACTGGTTGTGATAGACCTCATGCCTGAAAAAAATATAAGGTATTACAACAGTGTACATATTGAAAAATATTTATAACCTAAGCTTTCTGTCTATTCCTTTACTATTATTAACCTTTTCACTGTCCAGACCCCTGAAATGAAAGTTGCTCTGTGTCCAGTTTAAAAAACAATTCTTCTGAAATGGCAGATAATCTTTTTCTGAAGGTAATGACACCAAAAGTACGAAATTTCATAGAAAATTTACGGAATCACACAGGCTCACAGCTTCTCTGAGTGAGCTGAGCTCATGATGCAGAACTACATCAGGGACCCTGGCCTCAATGAGGAAGTTCTACATTACAGTCAGTGAAGGGATTAAGGATGCTATATTACATTGAAATAAGACAAACTAATAATTTATGGATCTTTCCAACCATTATATAGCAGAAAATATTTAACCCTATGGAGCTTCACAGCAATGAACATAATCTAATTTAACCATCAGTTCACTCACAAAAAATTCACCTTGTCAATATTATCAAATATATGCGAATATCACATGAAATTTTGACAACAGAATAAAGTTTACAACCTATAGTTTCATTCCAGCAATTCCAATAGTAAGTTTATTTAGATACAGATACACATAAGTATGATTATCATACACAGTTTAACATACAGGTAAATTACCTTGGATAACCCAAAAAAGTCAGACAAAGTGAATTATTTCCAAGGGTTAAGAGAGGAGTAAGACCAACACAGAAAATGCTGTACCTGGGAATAACTTTTCTTTATGCTTGCTAACATAATCTGAGCTTGAACTGAGCGATGTACAGGTCTCCCTCAACATTCGCGAGGGTTAGGGGATCAAGAGCCTCGCGAATGTTGAAAAACCGTGAATGTTTGGTGCCCCAATATATTGTAGGGAAATATATTACAATACTGCTTCCTTAACTTGTTGAACCATGAATAATCATAAAATACATGAAAACGTTGTAAATTGTACTAAATATATACATGTTATGCTTTAATAACGTATGTTATTTAATAACATGTATGTTAATAACATTTATTTATTTTTTATTATCACACTGGCCTATTCCCACCAAGGCAGGGTGGCCTGAAAAAGAAAAACTTTCACCATCATTCACTCCATCACTGTCTTGCCAGAAGGGTGCTTTACACTACAGTTTTTAAACTGCAACATTAACACCCATCCTTCAGAGTGCAGGCACTGTACTTCCCATCTCCAGGACTCAAGTCCGGCCTGCCGGTTTCCCTGAACCCCTTCATAAATGTTACTTTGCTCACACTCCAACAGCACGTCAAGTATTAAAAACCATTCGTATCCATTCACTCCTATCAAACACACTCACGCATGCCTGCTGGAAGTCCAAGCCCCTCGCACACAAAACCTCCTTACCCCCTCCTCCAACCTTTCCTAGGCCGACCCCTACCCCGCCTTCCTTCCACTACAGACTGATACACTCTTGAAGTTATTCTGTTTCGCTCCATTCTCTCCACATGTCCGAACCACCTCAACAACCCTTCCTCAGCCCTCTGGACAACAGTTTTGGTAATCCCGCACCTCCTCCTAACTTCCAAACTGCGAATTCTCTGCATTATATTCACACCACACATTGCCCTCAGACATGACATCTCCACTGCCTCCAGCCTTCTCCTCGCTGTAACATTCATCACCCATGCTTCACACCCATATAAGAGCGTTGGTAAACTATACTCTCATACATTCCCCTCTTTGCCTCCAAGGACAAAGTTCTTTGTCTCCACAGACTCCTAAGTGCAACCACTCACCCTTTCCCCTCATCAATTCTATGATTCACCTCATCTTTCATAGACCCATCGCTGACACGTCCACTCCCAAATATCTGAATACATTCACCTCCTCCATACTCTCTCCCTCCAATCTGATATCCAGTCTTTCATCACCTAATCTTTTGTTATCCTCATAACCTTACTCTTTCCTGTATTCACTTTCAATTTTCTTCTTTTGCACACCCTACCAAATTCATCCACCAATCTCTGCAACTTCTCTCAGAATCTTCCAAGAGCACAGTGTCATCAGCAAAGAGCAACTGTGACAACTCCCACTTTGTGTGTGATTCTTTATCTTTTAAACTCCACGCCTCTTGCCAAGACCCTCGATTTACTTCTCTTACAACCCCATCTATAAATATATTTAACCCTTTGACGTCGCAACCCCCAATCCTGAGGTGTCTCCATGGTGTCGCAAAATTTAAAAAAAAAAAAAAAAAAAATTTTTTTCTTATGAAATGATAGAGAATCTTTTCCCGATTGTAATGACACCAAAAAAACGAAATTTGATGGAAAACTGACGGAATTATGCTCTCGCGAAGTTAGCGACCTCGGCACTGTTTACAAATCGGCGATTTCGCCCACTTTGAGCCCTATTTTCGGCTAATTCCATTGTTCCAGTCGCCCAAACTCATAGCTATTTCTTTAGAACTCCATTTTTTTTTATTGATTGAGTACAAGAAACTGCCCATTTACCGATTTCACTACCTAATTAATGTGGTCAGAAATTTGCAATTTAGCCAATTTCACGAAAACTAAAAAATATGACAATTTCAAAATAAGGTCCAGAATGAACAATGCAGACATTCCTGGCTCTAAAATAACATTTTCTTTGCTCATCAGTCATGTCTCCAGGCCCCTCTGATATTACTCTTGCTTTCTATTTTGAATTTTTATTCAAACAAAAAATAGAAGACTTACTATTATGCAGACTACTGCAATACTGTAATAATTGTATAAATAACATCAACCCATTCATGACTGCATATTAGAATGGCTAGTTGGACATTTATTGGACAATGGCATCATTTGTTTACTTTTGAACATTGGCAAAAATCAAACATTTCCCCTACTTTGAGCTCCATTTCTAGGTTCTTTTTATAGTAAAATCAATCAAAATCACCTCTATTCCTATAATATGTTTTATATTCTATCAAATGAGACCAAGAAAACGAGAATACAATCATAAATACTATACGAAAATAGACCACAAAGTCGGCATTTTAATTAAAAAAAATCGGTCGCAGTTTTTTTTTCTCATTATGCACTGCGTGCTCCAAGATTTTTTTTATATGGTGCACACTGATCACACAGACCCATTCTCTCACATGTAGGCCTACCAGCTTTCTCCTGCTTGATTTGAAGCCGCTAGAATTTATGAGTATATATACCTATTACATACATAGAACACTTAACTCTGATATTAACCCTCCCCTCAAACATCTCCTTGCCAACCTCAACAGAACACATGACCATAACACAAGGCACAGATCACTCTTTGATGTTCCTCGTGTCCATCTCACACTATGCAAAAACTCAATGCACATAAAAGGCCCTAAAATCTGGAATTCATTACCTGTAAATATAAAAGAAACACTACCTGTTTATAAATTCAAGTCTCTTCTCAAAGATCACTTACTCACCCAAAACCAAATATATACTGAATAACTGAACCTTATAAATTGTATATCTTAAATGTTTCTCACAATTATATCACATAAATGTTAAACCTAAAACCAAATCTAACTTTATTATTTTTTAAATACACTACCTAACAGAATCACTACCTAACTGAATGCAACCATATGACCTGTCTTTGTAATACTCACTTGTGCTTTATAGTAATCTGTTTACATTAATGTTTTATCACTGATTTCATCATTGCTTAGTTAATCTTAAGTTAATTTTAAGCCAGCCCGTAATGCTATGCATAGTATAAGTGGCTTTGGCATACTGCTCTTATCTGTATTTTTTTGTACCTCTGTATGTGTGCTCAAATTGGAAAAAAATAAATAAATACGTCAAACACGGTACCTCGTAAGACGTATATATACGGCCGCGACAGTCAAAGGGTTAAACAACCACGGTGACATCACACATCCTTGTCTAAGGCCTACTTTTACTGGGAAATAATTTCCCTCTTTCCTACATACTCTAACTTGAGCCTCACTATCCTCGTAAAAACTCTTCACTGCTTTCAGTAACCTACCTCCTACACCATACACCTGCAACATCTGCCACATTGCCCCCCTATCCACCCTGTCATACACCTTTTCCAAATCCATAAATGCCACAAAGACCTCTTTAACCTTATCTAAATACTGTTCACTTATATGTTTCACTGTAAACACCTGGTCCACACACCCCCTACCTTTCCTAAAGCCTCCTTGTTCATCTGCTATCCTATTCTCCGCTTACTCTTAATTCTTTCAATAATAACCTACCATACACTTTGCCGGGAAATACTCGACAACTTATCCCCCTATAATTTTTGCACTCTCTTTTATCCCCTTTGCCTTTATACAAAGGAACTATGCATGCTCTCTCCCAATCCCTAGGTACCTTACCCTTTCCAAAACATTTATTAAATAACTGCACCAACCACTCCAAAACTATATCCCCACCTGCTTTTAACATTTCTATCTTTATCCCCTCAATCCGGGTGCCTTACCCCCCCTTTCATTTTACCTACTGCCTCACGAACTTCCCCCACACTCACAACTGGCTCTTCCTCACTCCCCACAAGATGTTGTTCCTCCTTGCCCTATACACGAAATCACAGCTTCCCTATCTTCATCAACATTTAAAAAATTCCTCAAATATTCCCTCCATCTTCCCAATATTCTAACTCTCCATTTTTAATAACTCTCCTCTCCTATTTTTAACTGACAAATCCATTTGTTCTCTAGGCTTTCTTAACTTATTAATCTCACTCCAAAACTTTTTCTTATTTTCAACAAAATTTGTTGATAACATCTCACCCACTCTCTCCATTTGCTCTCTTTTTACATTTCTTCACCACTCTCTTAACCCCCTCTCTTTTTCTCCAATACTCCCTTCCTCCTTGCATCACTTCTACTTTGTAAAAACTTCTCATATGCTAACTTTTTCTCCCTTAAAATACTCTCCTTCACATCATCATTCCACCAATCGCTCCTCTTCCCTCCCGCACCCACTTTCCCCCGTAACCACAAACTTCTGCTGAACACACTAACACTACATTTTTAAACCTACCCCATACCTCTTCGACCCCATTGCCTATGCTCTCATTAGCCCATCTATCCTCCAATAGCTGTTTATATCTTACCCTAACTGCCTCCTCTTTTAGTTTATAAACCTTCACCTCTCTCTTCCCTGATGCTTCTATTCTCCTTGTATCCCATCTACCTTTTACTCTCAGTGTAGCTACAACTAGAAAGTGATCTGATATATCTGTGGCCCCTCTATAAACATGTACATCCTGAAGTCTACTCAACAGTCTTTTATCTACCAATACATAATCCAACAAACTACTGTCATTTCACCCTACATCATAACTTGTATACTTTTTTTATCCTCTTTTTCTTAAAATATGTATTACCTATAACTAAACCCCTTTCTATACAAAGTTCAATCAAAGGGCTCCCATTATCATTTACACCTGGCACCCCAAACTTACCTACCACACCCTCTCAAAAAAGTTTCCCCTACTTTAGCATTCAGGTCCCCTTCCACAATTACTCTCTCACTTGGTTCAAAGGCTCCTATACATTCACTTAACATCTCCCAAAATCTCTCTCTTTCCTCTGCATTCCTCTCTTCTCCAGGTGCATACACGCTTATTATGACCCACTTCTCGCATCCAACCTTTACTTTAATCCACATAATTCTTGAATTTACACATTCATATTCTCTTTTTCTCCTTCCATAACTGATCATTCAACATTACTGCTACCCCTTCCTTTGCTCTAACTCTCTCAGATACTCCAGATTTAATCCCATTTATTTCCCCCCACCGAAACTCCCCTACCCCCTTCAGCTTTGTTTCGCTTAGGGCCAGGACATCCAACTTCTTTTCATTCATAACATCAGCAATCGTCTGTTTCTTGTCATCCGCACTACATCCACGCACATTTAAGCATCCCAGTTTTATAAAGTTTTTCTTCTTCTCTTTTTTAGTAAATGTCTACAGGAGAAGGGGTTACTAGCCCATTGCTCCCGGCATTTTAGTCGCCTCATACGACACGCATGGCTTACGGAGGAAAGATTCTTTTCCACTTCCCCATGGACAATAGAAGAAATAAAGAGGAACAAGAGCTATTTAGAAAAAGGAGAAAAACCTAGATGTATGTAATATATATATATATTTATAATATATATATATATATATATATATCATGTGCGTGTCTGTAAGTGTGACCAAAGTGTAAGTAGGAGTAGCAAGATATCCCTGTTATCTAGCGTGTTTATGAGACAGAAAAAGAAACCAGCAATCCTACCATCATGCAAAACAGTTACAGGTTTCTGTTTCACAGTCATCTGGCAGGACGGTAGTACTTCCCTGGGTGGTTGCTGTCTACCAACCTACTACCTACTTAATAACATGTATGTTATTAAATAGTTAAGTTAATAACATGTATGTTATTAAATACCACAGACTCCACCACTACCTCCACCACTGCGAGTCCCTACTACCCTCCCTCTGACCCCCACAACTGGCAGCCAGCCCTCCCACCACTGTGTGGTAAGTGTTTTGTTTGTTTATTATTTGCTATTAAACTACAGAATAAATAATGTAAACCCATTCATGACTGCATATTGGAATGGCTATTCGGACAGGTATTAGACGGAGACATCATGTGTTTACTCTTGAACACAGCAAAGAATTAAACATTTCTGCTACAGCTAATAATAACAATAGTAATAATAATAATAATAATAATAATAATAATAATAATAATAATAATAATAATAATAAATATGATATAATTGAAGAAGGAAATTGTACAAAAATACGAGGGAGTGGTTGACACATCGTCAGTGTGACTTCGTTTATGCTGGAGTGAACATTAGTCTCCCTGCTCTTCCAAACATTTCACAATAATTCATTGTGTTTGGTGCTTGTAGATTGAGTGTGACTGGAGTGGTAGAGGCAGTGATTGATTATTTTATTTATAACATATATGTTATTAAATACCACTGCCTCAACCGCTGAATTATTGTGAAATGTTTGGAAGAGCAGGGAGATTAATGTTCACTCCAGCATAAACAAAGTCACACTGACGATGTGTCAACCACTCCCTAGTATTTTTGTACAATTTCCTTCTTCAATTATCGTATTTATTATTATTATTATTATTATTATTATTATTATTACTATTGTTATTATTAGCAATAGCAGAAATGTTCGATTCTTTGCTATGTTCAAGAGTAAACACATGATGTCACCGTCTAATACCTTTCCTAATAGCCATTCTAATATGCAGTCATGAATGGGTTTACATTATTTATTCTGTAGTTTAATAGCAAATAATAAACAAACAAAACACTCACCACACTGAGTGGTGGGAGGGCTGGCTGCCAGTTGTGGGGGTCGGAGGGAGGGTAGTAGGGACTCGCAGGTGGTGGGAAACTTAAATATGATTTGGCGGCTGGGAATTTGGTGGCTGGGAATTTGGCAGTTGAAAATTCGTGAATGTGTGAAGCCCGTGAAAGTTGAAAACGTGAATGTTGAGGGAGACCTGTATATAAGTCATTCGTGAATCTCTGAAGTGATGTGCCTATTCCTAATCTTGATGCAAGTGTAATAATAACAATTTTAGTTATTTTTACAACAACCACAAGTAAGCAAACAAGTTAGCAAAGCATAAAGTAATTCATAAATGAATAGACTAATTTACTTTACTGCACTAGGAGTTAACTCACTTCTGACAATCCATGCAGAGTGTAGTAAGACATGCTGGGCAGTTAAGCACTGCATCACTCTGAGGTAACATCTGAGGCTGGCCAGTTATACGTTGTCCACTTGTGAATCTGTAAACATCACTGTGTAATGAAAAATTTAGGTCAATGAATTTGGAAATAGTTCCAAACCAAAATAATGTGATGAGTGCATTTCTTCAAAAAAAAAGTAAAAGCTTTTGAGTTAGTATATTGTTATGACTATAGCTTTTTTTTATGAACACATCAGATGTTTCCCACCGAGAAAGGGGCGGCCCAAAAAAGAAGAAACACTTTCATTACCATTCACTCTGTCACCATCTTGCCAGAGGCATGCCTACACTACAGTAAAAAAAAAAAAAAAAACTGCAACATATCCATACCCCTCCTTCAGAGGGCAGGCACTACTTCCCACCTCCAGGACTCAAGTTCAGCTAACCGGTTTCCCTGAATCCCTTTACCAATGTTACCATGCCCACACTCCAACGGCATGTCAAGTCATAAAAACCCATTTGTCTCCATTCATTCCTATCTAACACACTCACACATGCTGGAAATCCAAGCTCCTCGCACACAAAATCTCCTTTTCCCCCTCCCTCCAACCTTTCCTAGGACAACCCCTACCCTACCTTCCTTCCACTACAGATTTATACACCTTCCAAGGCATTCTATTTTGTTCCATCTTCTCTAAATGTTCAAACCAACTCAACAACCCTTCCTCTGCCCTCCGAATATTACTTTTAGAAACCCTGCACCCCTTCTAATTTCCCAGATAGATTCTAGTTATGTGAAACACTAAACAGGTGTGGGTCTCATTCAGCACAAGGAATGGTGGATGCTCAATTCATTATCATTTAATTGTGAGACTCTACTCTCGCAGCCAGGCCTTTGAGGTACATCTTCCGTTATCGTAATTAAATCTATGCATGTTACGAAAGGCAACAAAAAATGCCAAGTTCAGAAATATGGATACTATCATAACTTAAAAGTATCCATTTAGAAAATAACTCTTTCCAGGTCCAGTTAGTGTGGAAAGAGTTTTTTCTTCAACACAACGGTCGTCTCCCAAAAAGGCAGGGCGACTCGAAAAAGAAGAAATGGAAAGTTCTTTTTACATCTAGTAATTTATACAGGAGAAGGGGTTACTAGCCCCTTGCTCCTGATATTTTAATTGCCTCTTACAACACGCATGGCTTATACAACATGCATGGCTTATGAAGAATGGAGAGAAATATATACAACTAAAAAACTGATACTCACACCTATAAATCTTTACCTCTGTTTTTTAGGTTGGTATGATCTTCTCATCTTGTCTACCCATTCCTGGTCCTGATCATCCAGTGTAGGGTCGTAGAAGAGTTCATCGTTAGTCATAATGCGTCGCTTTTCCTTCTTTTTTGTTTTATGGGAGAGTTTTGAAGTCTCAGTTGCTGCCAAAAACAAACTAAAAATTATGAGCTAGAAAACCTACAGACAGCAAGCATCACTCTATGAAGAACTGTAAACATATATATTAGTTATGTCTAGCTTTTTGATATCTAAATGCATAATTGATAAAAAAAAAAAGCATTCTGCTTTGTATGCATTTCCTTTACTTTTGTTTTTATTAACACACAGGCCATTTCCCACACACAAAATCTTCCCTGAATAGTTAAGACTGGAAAATAATAGGCATGGGCACTGAAAATATGTAAGGACAGAATGGCATACAGAAGACTATACCAGCCATCCCACCAGACAGTATCAGTGAATGAAATAGTGCTGAAAAAATTACAAAAGAAAATGCCCTCCTCAGAACTGTATTATGTAGTCAGAAAATTTGCGTGGAGCTAACCATATATATGACACTATACAATTCTGAATATCAATGGGCCTCATGCACATTTTTTAATTTTGATTTGGGCTTTCTTGAAAATAATAATACAGTGGACCCCCGCTTTACGATCACCTCCCAATGCGACCAATTATGTAAGTATATTTATGTAAGTGCATTTGTACGTGTATGTTTGGGGGTTTGAAATGGACTAATCTAATTCACAATATTCCTTATGGGAACAAATTCGTTCAGTACTGGCACCTGAACATACTTCTGGAATGAAATAATATCGTAAACCGGGGGTCCACTGTACTAAATTTCCAGTCATAACAATAAGGTAATCTTCAAGCATGAAGGCAAAATACTGAAGTACTGTACTGTATTCAAGATCATGAGCAAACAATTGCAAAATGTTTTTTTTTTTTTTTACAATAACGGCCATCTCCCATGGAGGTAGGGTCACCCAAAAAAGAAGAAACGTGAAGTTTTTTTCTTTTTACATTTAGTAATTTTTACAGGAGAAGAGGCCACTAGCCCCTTGCTCCTGGAATTTTATAGTCACCTCTTAGGACACACATGGATAACAAATATAAAACAAAATGGTATTTACAAAAATAAAAGTTCACACTACCATGAATTGAATTTAACACACTAAAGGAATAGTGCAGGATTTTATCTCATAACATAATGAGTAGTGTGATGCTAACATGCACTCCTTGTGCTTAGTGGGCCATGAGTGAGCCCACAATATTTCTTAATATTACAGTACATATAATTCTGTAAATATGCTAGAATTCATAAAATACCACTCAGAATAATCTAGGGCAGTTTCCTACTGATGATAGTGTCATTAACATCACACACCTGGACAACCTGTGGCTTCAGACACTAAACTGGGAGAAAATTTTATAATCTAAAGGCAGATCTGGTGTTCCAGCTTTACATTATCAACACTATAATGATTCCTCTTTATGAAATAGATACTCGTGTGGATAATTATGACTAATGTTTGAGTATATGAATACAGTGGACCCCCGGTTAACGATTTTAATCCGTGCAAGAGGGCTCATCGTTATGCGAAATAATCGTTATGCGAATCAATTTTCCCCATAAGAAATAATGGAAATAAAATTAATCCGTGCAAGACGCCCAAAAGTATGAAAAAAATTTTTTTTTACCACATGAAATGTTAATTTTAATACACACAAACTGAAAAAGGCATGCACAATTACATGACACTTACTTTTATTGAAGATCTGGTGATGATTGATGGGATGGGAGGAGGGGAGAGCATTATCTTCTTACTGTTTAGAAGGGGAATCCCCTTCCATTAAGACTTGAGGTAGCAAGTCCTTTTCTGGGGTTACTTCCCTTCTTCTTTTAAATGCCACTAGGACCAGCTTGAGAGTCACTGGACCTCTGTCGCACAACAAATCTGTCCATAGAGCTCTGTACCTCCCGTTCCTTCAAGACTTTCCTAAAATGGGCCATAACATTGTCATTGAAATAGTCACAAGCACGGCTTGCAACAGCTGTGTCAGGGTGATTTTCATCTATAAAGGTTTGCAGTTCAACCCACTCTGCACACATTTCCTTAATCTTTGAAGTAGGCACAATGGATTCCACAACTGGCATAGGCTTCTCAGGGTTAGCCCCAAACCCTTCAAAATCTTTCTTAATTTCCATACTAATTCCCACCCTTTTTACCACAGGGTTGGCACTAGAAGCTTTCTTGGGGCCCATGGTCACTTATTTTCCACAAACAGCACCGAAAACACTGTAATAATACGAAATATTCCGAGTGTATGCTTGGATGTTACCGCGGAGGCTGGCTGGTAAACAATGGGACGGCCGGCACATGTGAGGGCACATTGGACGCGTCTCGGACGAAAATCGGTATGCGGGTTTTTAATCGGTATGCGGGGCAAAAATTTTGCGATAAAAGTAATCGTTATGCGGAAAAATCGCTATGCGATGCCATCGTTATGCGGGGGTCCACTGTATCTCTAATTTACATATTGATGTAAAGTAATCTAATATTGATGTAAAGTGAACTAATAAAACTAATCTCAGCTTTTCTAATTCCTTAAGGACTTGTAACTTTAAACAAGATACTGTATAACTACAGACAGGGTGCCATTTTACAGTGCTTCGCTTTACGGCATTTCACTAATGCAGCAGTTTTCAATTATGCCCATTCTTCATTTATTCAAACGTTTTACAATAAACATGTTCACCACTCACTAATAGATAAGGGTGAAAATATTTTAAGGTAGGTAATGGGTGTATGGTATGCACAATTTTTAGGCCTAGCTTGAGTGCTCACTTAATATATTATAGTGCAAACGTGTTTTCAGGCTTTTATATGCATTTTAAAGTGAAAAAAGGCTATGTTTCACTTTACAGCAATTTCTGCTTTACAGCAGTAGCCCGGGAACTAACCTGCTGTATAAGTGGGGCCCTCCTTTATGTAATTTTAGGGGACGACCCCAAAGAAAGGCAGGAATCAATATATAATGAAATAAACAAAGCAGGTTATGATTAGCTGAAAAGAAAATCAAGTACAGTACTGTACTGTACTCAGATTATAGCAAAATTTCACATGCGATACAGTAAATAAATTGTGTATCTAAATGTGGCACTTGCCTTCAGGCTCAGAATCATCCGAGTCAAAATACACAGCATCATAAAACTTGGATGCTTCATCTATGGGTTCCTTTTCAGCATTTTCAGATTTTGACTCCTGGCTACTTCCTGCTGCCTCACTCGTGTTGTCTGGTGACTTATTCTTCCTGAGGGATGTGGCAAGTTGTCTCATGGTCTGTGACAACTCGGATGCCATTTCTCTTTCAAAGTCGTCTTTGTCATCATCATTCTCCTGATTTTTTATGCAAGCTGGTGACAAAGCAGAATTAAAAACAAGAAAGTTAGTTACTTCTGTTCTATGTCAAATTCTAAATTTCATGTGGAAAAGAAAGGAAACATGAAATGCAAGGTAATTTACTATACAAAATGATATACAGGTTGTGGCTTATCTGTCAGTAGACAGGTATCTTCTGGCATGGGAAAAAGGCAAATGGTGACCCATAACTAGCTAAATACCCACTGGCCTACCAGAGCTAGATTTTTCACACCATTCAAAAAACAATTAATCACTGCATAGTAATGTATTTTAAGATGATTATACTCCTCAAGGGAATCAAGTGATATACAGTGCAACCACTAAATTCGAGGGGATGGGGTTACGTTCCTAGAGGTCCATGAAAATCCAAATTTGTTGAATACCATTAAATTCTGTCCATAGTAAATTTTATTTCCGATTTATGCTAATTTTGTTTCATGCTCATTCATACACACAAAGAATTTTTTTTATTAAAACATCAGCTGTTTCCCAAGGCAGGGTGATCCAAAAAAAGAAGACAATAACATCATCATTCACTAATAAATTTAATACCCATAATCTGATTAACCTTTAAACTGTCCAAACGTAGATCTACGTTTTTTTTACATTCTTTCTTATGGAGAAAATCATGGTTGGAGCGCTATGCACACAAACGTAGATCTATGTTTGGACAGTTTAAGGGTTAAAGCAAAATAATACTTGGAAATACTGTAACCAGAAAGTGATGACATGGCCACAGGTTATAGATACTGTATACAATAATTAGAAAAAAATTTTCAATCGTACTTATTTAGGATAGTGGAGTCCTTACTCCATTACCTATTTTGGTTTTCTGTACTTAATAATACAGTATATAGAAGACATGATTGATTTCACCCCTTAATATTAAACTATAAAACATCTCACAGCAGATACTGTATTTTAATATTCAGCTAAAAAATATATTAAAACCATGATACTGGTACCTCTCCTTTTAATTTAAATTTCTGAAGATTTCAACTGAATTGTAATGTCTATATGAAAGTTCTGAAGCCAAAAAAATTCAGGACTTATTTTCTTGTGGGGCTACAAGAGTAGTGTATCTATCTTGCAATTAGTGGATAAAGGATCAAACCTCCATTACAATGGAGGTATTAATAATACAGTAGTCCCCCCCTGTTTTAATACCACATTTATTATCTTAGAGTACTCTTAATTACCTTGTACTGCCATATAACCTCAAGTATAACTACCAGTGCAATATTGAATGAAATAAACATTACTTTTTCACTTTTTTTGTAATCATTATTACTTACTAAAATTTTATTAAACACCATATTTACTACCAGTCAATTTTACTTTTGTACATTAAACATTATTTTATACTTCCCATAACATTTTGTTGCCAAATTTTCAAGTTTGTATATTCAACTCCAACCTTTATATTATCCTTTGTACCTGTGTACCTGTGTACCCGTGTACCTGTCTACCATCTTACTATCATGTAACCAAGACATTACCCTTGTTATTTTTTACTATTATTCTTTTGGTACTTTAATTGTGAATTTTATTTTGTCAATTTAAATCTAGTTATACTCTTGATCTTGTCAACAACCTATACCAGACTCTAGTGCAATTGAAAGTACCATTTCAATTTGTATTTTTATATTATAAGTTTATATTATAAGTCCTACTCTAAGATTGTTTTCATATCTTAGTGACTATATTGTGTGTGCAATTAGTGTATATTTCAATTATATTATTGTTCAAGGCCCTTAACTATCTTTTGCTAACTAGTACCAACTACCTCATATATTTTTTTTTTCCTATTTTTTTTTATTCTTTTGCTACCTTAACTTGTATATTTTATCTTGTCAATTTAAATTTAGTTATACTCTAATTCTTGTAAACAACTTATATAACACCTTAGTGCAATTACAATTGAGAGTCTTGTGCCTTTTTTATATTATTAGATTAAACTCAGTTGTACTATAGTCAATACCAAATTCATTATATTAGACCATATTGCAATTACTAGTGAGAGACTGGTGCTATTTTTAATTTGTATTTTTATATTATTAGATTAAATCTAGTTGTACTATAGCTCATTCTAGCTCAAAACATAGACTCCACAAAAGTCATTATATTAGACCTTAGTGCAATTACAAGTGAGAGTCTTGTTCTATTTTAAATTTGTATTTTTATATTACTAGTTTATACCTAGTTGTACTTTAGTTCATTCCAGCACAACACATAGACAACATCAACTTCATTATGTGTAGTAGTGACTATACTCTATATGACCAAAATACTCTAGCTATATACTTGTCCAAGCTTCCCACCACTACAGATATCAGTACTAGAACTCAACACATAACTCAGGATATAAATAACCATAATTTAAACCTAGAAGATGATTGATCACGTTGACTCTGATCTAAACCTCCATAATCTGACACCCAATCAAAACCTATTGGAAAGTAACTGCCTTTATTACACAGCATCACAAGCCAGCACTATCCTAAACAATGCTAAAAGTCTATCAGTACTTAACTACAACATCAGGTCCTTAAGCAAACACTATGATGACCTCCTGGCACTCCTTGAATCACTAAAGACACCCTTCTCCTGCATTATTCTTACTGAGACCTGGCTTAAGCAGGACACAATAGATATCTACCCTCTACCAGGATACACAACAATTCACAACTGCAGACCAAACCAAGTTGGGGGTGGTATTGCAATCTATTACTCTAACCAATTATCTTGTATTAGCACCACTTGCTTTAGTGATGAATATGGGGAATACATTTTTGCTAATTTTACTGTAAAAACCTTAAGACACCTATAACAATCGGTGCCATTTACCGGATACCTCACACAAACATCCCAAATTTCAGTGAGAAATTAAAGTCACTAATAACAAACAGACAAATGAATATGCACCACCTTCTCTTAGCTGGAGACTTCAACATCAACCTTGGCTTACTAGATGATCAGCTTGTAACTGATTTCATCAACAATATGAACAACACACTTCTCATACCAACAATAACTAAACCAACCAGGCTCACTGAGACAAGTGCAACCATAATAGACCACATATGGACCAATATACTAGCCCCCCTTAAATCAGGGATAATCACAGATAGCACTACAGACCACTACCCTACCTTCCTCCTGACAAACATTAATAAACCACCACTTGAATACAACAAAGTCTCATTTAGACTCCATGACAAGGCCTCAATAAGGAAGTTCACACCTGACCTAGAGATTGTTGACTGGCCTACAGAATTCTCCAAGGCCAATGGTATTGATGACTGTACAGACATTTTTCTTAACAAATTACTTAGACTATACAACAAACATTGCCCTATAAAAATTAAACAGATCACAAACAAACGGCTTGGTTGCCCATGGCTAACCAGCACCATTCTGAAATCCATTGACAAGAAACACCAATATGAAAAGCAATATAGACAGGGCTTAATACACAAAGATATTCTTAAACACTATTCATCAGTTCTCACCAAAGTAATAAAGAAAGCCAAACAACTATACTACTCCAGTAGATTCACAGACACTAGAGGAGATATAAAAAAGACCTGGAAAACACTCTCTCAGATTCTAGGGACCGACAAACTGAAAAAAAACAAGAATATTGTCCTAACTAAACCTAATGAAACACCACTACATCCCACTGACACAGCTAACAAGATAAACGACTTCTTCTCAACCATAGGATCTAATCTTGCCAATAAAATCCCACATACTAATGCCCATTCCGGGAACTACCTAGATGGGAATTTCCCAAATTCCTTCTATCTTGCACCAACTTAGCCCTCGGAAGTCACCGAGATTATAAAGTCACTTAAAAACAACTCGGGGAATCTGTCTAATCTCCCACCATTACTGTACAAGCGAGCGGCCCATATCCTTTCGCATGCTATTTCATTACTTTTTAACAAGTCACTAGAAACTAGCACCTTCCCGAAACTACTCAAGATGGCAAGGGTTACACCAATACATAAAGGTGGTGACCCTACAGACTTAAACAACTATAGGCCAATATCAAACTTACCATTGCTATCCAAAATCTTTGAGAAACTCGTGCACAGGAGACTATATTCATTTATAACAGCACAAAACATACTCAACCCCTGCCAATTTGGATTAAGGAAAAATAAAAGCACTAATGATGCAATCATAAAAATGCTAGATCTGCTTTACACAGCATTGGAAAATAAGGAATATCCACTAGGAATTTTTATTGACCTAAGAAAAGCTTTTGACACAGTAGACCACAACATCCTACTCCACAAACTTGACCATTACGGTATAAGAGGCCATGCGCTTGCTTATTTCAAATCTTACCTTACTAATAGGTATCAGTATGTTACCATTAAAGACACAGCATCAACAACACGGCCACTTGATACTGGAGTTCCGCAGGGAAGTGTCCTTGGTCCCCTGCTCTTCCTCATATACATCAATGATCTTCCAAACGTATCCCAACACCTGAAACCCATTCTCTTTGCTGACGACACGACTTATGTCATCTCTCACCCTAATCTTGCCCCCCTCAAACACCATTGTTAACGAGGAGCTGATCAAAATATCGACTTGGATGACAGCCAATAAACTTGCGCTTAACACTGACAAAACCTACTACATGTATATTATGTTTGGTAGCAGAGCAGGAGATGCACAAATTAACATTAAGATCGACAACACTCTAATTACCAGACATAATGAGGGCAAATTCCTAGGCCTATACCTTGACAACAACCTGAATTTCAGCACCCATATCCAACACATAACCAAAAAAGTATCCAAAACAGTTGGGATCCTCTCCAAGATACGATACTACGTGCCGCAAAATGCCCTTCTCACACTATACCACTCACTTATTTATCCATACCTCACCTATGCTATTTGTGCTTGGGGATCAACTGCAGCAACACACCAAAAGCCAATAATAGCCCAACAAAAAGCTGCAGTAAGAATAATCACTAAATCCCATCCCTGGCAACACACCCCCCCACTCTTCATAGATCTAAACTTACTCCCTGTTCAGTACATCCACACTTACTACTGTGCAATCTACATCTACAGGACCTTAAACTCCAATATCAACCTTGACCTAAAACGCTTTCTTGATAGTTGTGACAGAACCCACAGGCATAACACCAGACACAAACATCTCCCACGACATTCCCCATGTCCGACTAAACCTTTACAAAAATTCAATGTATGTCAAAGGCCCTAAAATCTGGAACACCCTACCTGAGAACTCTAGAACTGCAGACACATTCATCACCTTCAAAACTACCATTAGAAAACATCTTATCTCCCTGATAAACCCCATCAACTAACTACAACGAATACCACCTGGTGGTTCACACTTTCACTCACCCATTTGACCATAAACAGAAATATTAATCTCAATCTTAAAATAATGAATCCCATGATACTCCAATACTGAAACTATGTACTGTGCCAAAACAAAAGCATTCACATTACTAAACTCACAAACTAGTATTTAGTCACTTAGCCATAATACCAACTTACCTCATAATTTGTAATATTTTAAAATAAAGAATTAAACTAAGTCTGCCCGAAATGCCTAGCCATGCTAGGCGTTCTAGTGGTACACTCTGTAATCATTATATAACTACATGTAAACCACACAACAACCAAATTCTGTAAATTCAACATTGTAATCTTCATAGAGAATAAACTTTGAATTTGAATTTGAATTTGAATATCCACAGGGTAATACATTCCCAGACCTACTATGATGTCCAAAACTGCAGATAGTATCAAACCCTACATATAAGTCATTTTCATTTACATACATTCCTATAATAAAGTTTGATTGATAAATTGCAAACAAGTCAGGAATTAGCATTTTTTCACTGATGGGCAGCAGTTCACAGCTTCTCTTAGGCTTTGAAGAACTTTCTGCGTCACTACTTTTGTGCCCTGAGGCCAATATTAAGCAAAATTAAGGGTTATTTTCCGGCCACAGGAAACCGTGGATAACAAACTGCAAAAACTGAATCCACAGATACAGGGGTTCAACTGTATATTGTAGGGCTTCTACACCTGATATGGTTCACCTAGTTTGGCAAAGATGGACATAAATATATAATTTGGACATAGTTTACTGACTTGGCCATATGAAAGGTTTAACTTTTATTGCAATGGAAGTGTTCAGGACTGACCTTTTTTCCGTGTTTTTGTGGACATAGGTAATGTAAAGAATTTTTCATCATCCTCGTCAGAGCTGAAAATGGAAAAATAAAGATATAACATAAAAAAACATTCATTACTCATATGTATATAAAAATTTATCCATCACACTAACTGATTATTACCCAAAAATTTACGATGAAGTAAATGACAAAATATTATTAACTTAAAAAATTCCCTGAACTTCCAAGATGAATCTATAACCCTCTGGAGGGAAATGAACATAAATAGATTATATAAGATTTCACTCGGATTTTTAATGCTGGAGGGTTAGCCACCCAGGATAACCCAAGAAAGTCTGTGCATAACTGAGAACTGTCTGTCTTATTTCCATTGGGGTCCTCAGTCTTGTCCCCCAGGATGCAACCCACACCAATCCACTAACATTATTAAATATGCTTCTGTCCTTAGAGCTTGATCACTTCCAAGACATGATGTGTATGAGAGGTGATCAATTTCAGTAGGAGGAAAATAGGGTAGCTCTTGTTCCTTGGATAAAGACCCCTTCACCAGCCAGAAAGCATCCTCTTCTCCCACCCAAACCCTGCGATCCAGCAAGGAAATATGCATACGAGTAACCAGAGCAATAGGAAAAGTATGTATACATAAGTACGATTATCATACATAGTCACACAGGTGTAAATTACAACCAGGATAACCCAAAAACGTCAGACCAAAGTGCACTTTGACTTTTTTTGGGGTTATCCTAGGTAATCTACACATGTGCTATGTATGATAATTGATGTAATTGTATTTATGTAAACCTATAAACAATCCACGGTACGGGTGGGGATCGAACTCGTGGCAAGTGAGTTGTAAAACTCCAGGCCACTGGGCCAGCTGGTTCAGTGGCTTACACACTGGCCAGGACTTTTACAACTCACTTGCCGCGAGTTCAATCCCCACCCGTACCGTGGATTGTTTGCAATCGTGTCATTACGATTTCGTGAGTTGTGTACCTATGTTGAATAAACTTCCTTGCACCTCTCTCTCACCCACCTGATATATTTCGAGCTACACAGTATATCATCATCGCTCTCATCACAGTAATAGTCGTCATAGTTGGTATTTCTCCTCCCAAACAACGAACCATCCATTGTAACAGCAGTTACTTAGAGAATTCTCCTCACAGCGACTGCAGAAAAATATCAGCAAACTTTTGTTGCTGTTGTTTTGTTTTTGTTTGGGTTTATAAAGGCCATTGGCAACTTACGCACTATCGAGCCCAACTTAAGATAAACTTTCGTTCGGATTTTTAACCCCGGAGGGTTAGCCACCCAGGATAACCTAAGAAAGTCAGTGCGTCATCGAGGACTGTCTGTCTTATTTCCATTGGGGTCCTCAGTCTTGTCCTCCAGGATGCGTCCCACATCAGTCGACTAACACCTAGGTACCTATTTGCTGCTAGGTGAACAGGACAAGTGTAAGGAAACGGGTCGAAATGTTTTCACCACTCCGGGAATCGAACCCGGACCCTCCGTGTGTGAGGCGAGAACTTTGCCAGCCAGGCCACGGGAAGATTTATTGCCCAAAGCTGGGCCATGAAAGAAAAAGGAACAACAGTTCTTTTGTAAGCAGAAACAGGAACTATTAGCTCTCAATATTAGCTCCCATATGGACCAATATACTAGCCCCCCTTAAATCAGGGATAATCACAGACAGCACTACAGACCACTACCCAACCTTCCTCTTAACAAACATTAGTAAACCACCACTCGAATACAACAAAGTTTCATTTAGACTCCATGACGAGGCCTCAATAAGGAATTTCACAGCAGACCTAGAGACTGTTGACTGGCCTACAGAATTCTCCAATGCCAATGGTATTGACGATTGGACAGACATTTTTCTTAACAAAATACTTAGACTATACAACAAACATTGTCCTATAAAAACGAAACAGATCACGAATAAACGGCTTGGTTGCCCATGGCTAACCAGCAGCATTCTGAAATCCATTGATAAGAAACACCAATATGAAAAGCAATATAGACAGGGCTTAATACACAAAGATATTCTTAAACAATATTCAACAGTTCTCGCCAAATTAATAAAGAAAGCCAAACAACTGTACTGCTCCAGCAGATTCACTGACACAAGAGGAGATATAAAAAAAACCTGGGAAACACTTTCCCAGATTCTGGGGACCCACAAACTGAAAAAGAAAAACAAGAATATTGTCCTAACTACACCTCATGAAACACCACTACATCCCACTGATACAGCTAACAAGATAAACGACTTCTTCTCAAACATAGGATCTAATCTCGCCATTAAAATTCCACGTACCAATGCCCGTGCCGTGGACTACCTAGATGGGAATTTCCCAAATTCCTTCTATCTTGTACCAACTGAGCCCACGGAAGTCACCGCGATCATAAAGTCACTTAAAAAATAACTCGGGGAATCTGTCTCACGTCCCACCATTATTGTACAAGTGAGCGGCCCATGTCCTTTCGCATGCTATTACATTATTTTTAACAAGTCACTAGAAACTAGCACTTTCCCGACACTACTCAAGACAGCAAGGGTTACACCAATACATGAAGGTGGTGACCCTACAGACGTAAACAACTATAGGCCAATATCAAATTTACCATTGCTATCCAAAATCATTACCTCTGTAACTTGCTCAGCTATCAAAACTTTGGAGTCCAGTCCCTGGACCAATTATGTACCTCTGTAATCTTTTGACTACCGCCCACAGGATGGGTATGGGGTGCATAATAAACATATTAAACTAAACTAACTAAACTATCCAAAATCTTCGAGAAACTCGTGCACAGGAGACTATATTCATTTATAACGTCACAAAACATACTCAACCCCTGCCAATTTGGATTCAGGAAAAATAAAAGCACTAACGATGCAATTATAAAAATGCTAGATCTGCTTTACACAGCATTGGAAAATATGGAATATCCGCTAGGGATTTTTATTGACCTATGAAAAGCATTTGACACAGTAGACCATGGCATCCTACTCCACAAACTTGACCACTATGGTATAAGAGGCCATGCACTTGCATATTTTAAATCTTACCTTTCTAATAGGTTTCAGTATGTCACCATTAAAGACACAGCCTCATCAATACGGCCACTTGATACTGGAGTTCCGCAGGGAAGTGTCCTTGGTCCCCTGCTCTTCCTCATTAACATCAATGATCTTCCAAATATATCCCAACACCTGAAACCCATTCTCTTTGCTGACGACACGACTTATGTCATCTCTCACCCTAATCTTGCCACCCTCAACACCATTGTTAACGAGGAGCTGCTCAAAATATCGACTTGGATGACAGCCAATAAACTTACACTTAACACTGGCAAAACCTACTATATTATGTTTGGTAGCAGAGCAGGTGTTGCGCAACTTAACATTAAGATCGACAACACTCTAATTGCCAGACATATTGAGGGCAAATTCCTTGGCCTATACCTCGACAACAACCTAAATTTCAGCACCCATATCCAACACATAACAAAAAAAGTATCCAAAACGGTGGGGGTCCTCTCCAAGATACGATACTACGTACCGCAAACTGCCCTTCTCACACTATACCATTCACTTATATATCCATACCTCACCTATGCCATCTGTGCTTGGGGTTCAACTGCAGCAACACACCTAAAGCCAATAATAACCCAACAAAAAGCCGCAGTAAGAATAATCGCTAAATCCCATCCCTGGCAACACCCCCCCCCCCACTCTTCATATATCTAAACTTACTTCCTGTTCAGAACATCCACACTTACTACTATGCAATCTATATCTACAGGACCTTAAATTCCAATATTAACCTTGACCTAAAACGCTTCCTTGATAGTTGTGACAGGATCCACAGGCATAACACCAGACACAAACATCTCTATGACATTCCCCGTGTTCGACTAAACCTTTACAAAAATTCAATGTATTTCAAAGGACCCAAAATCTGGAACACCCTACCTGAAAATTCTAGAACTGCAGACACATTCATCACTTTCAAAACTACAGTTAGAAAACATCTTATCTCCCTGATCCACCCCGACAACTAACTACATGATAACCACCTGGTGGTTCGCATACACTCACTCACCACTGACTATAAACCCAGAAATACTAATCTTAATCTTAAAATAATAAATCCTAACTAGTCATAAGTTTGCCTATGATACTCCAATATAGACACCTTGTATTGTGCCAAAACAAAAGCATTCACATTGCTAAACTCACAAATTATGATGTAGTCACTTAGCCTTAATACCATAATCTGTAAGGATTTAATGTTAAGAATTAATCTAAGTCTGCTCGAAATGCCTAGCCATGCTAGGTGTCCTAGTGGCCCCCTATGTAATTAGTATTGTATAACATGTAAACCACACAATACCCAAAACCTGTAAACCCCACATTGTAACCCTTATAGAGAATAAACTTGAACTGAATTTAATTGAATTGAATTGAATTAGATCAGGTGGACCACCTTGTAGTGGGGAATCAAGTGTAGTCAAAGATAAGATAAAACCAATATTGCAAACTAGAAATACCACAGGAAATAGCAAACAAGAGGACTCCACTAGCAATAGTGAGGATATATTACCAAAAACAACTGGTGGGAGCTCCATTGTTGGTGCTAGGGATGATAGAAGTAAGACAGGTAAACATGCACCAACAGGGAATACAGTCACAGAAACCCAAGGCAAACATGCACCAACAGGGAATACAGTCACAGAAACCCAAGGCAAACGGAAACCAAGCCTGTGCACATGCTATGCACTTGGTATCTGCAGGCATGGGAAATCTGGAAAAACAGATGGGACGTGCAACTATGACCACCCTAGAAAATGCTGTTTACCTGGAGTTTACCTGGAGAGAGTTCCGGGGGTCAACGCCCCCGCGGCCCGGTCTGAGACCAGGCCTCCTGGTGGATCAGAGCCTGATCAACCAGGCTGTTGCTGCTGGCTGCACGCAAACCAACATACGAGCCACAGCCCGGCTGATCCGGAACTGACTTTAGGTGCTTGTCCAGTGCCAGCTTGAAGACTGCCAGGGGTCTGTTGGTAATCCCCCTTATGTGTGCTGGGAGGCAGTTGAACAGTCTCGGGCCCCTGACACTTATTGTATGGTCTCTTAACGTGCTAGTGACACCCCTGCTTTTCATTGGGGGGATGGTGCATCGTCTGCCAAGTCTTTTGCTTTCGTAGTGAGTGATTTTCGTGTGCAAGTTCGGTACTAGTCCCTCTAGGATTTTCCAGGTGTATATAATCATGTATCTCTCCCTCCTGCGTTCCAGGGAATACAGGTTTAGGAACCTCAAGCGCTCCCAATAATTGAGGTGTTTTATCTCCGTTATGCGCGCCGTGAAAGTTCTCTGTACATTTTCTAGGTCGGCAATTTGACATATGACATATGACAACAGGAAAATGCAAACTCCCTTCCTGTAAGCTTTTTCACCCTGATATGTGTCCCTCTTCAGTGCAGGAAAGACTGTGCTATAACTTAAATTGCCAGGCACACCATCTAAAGAGGGAGAGGTTTATTAGTGCCAGGAAGAAAAAAAAACTGGCAGGAAATGGCAGAAATCGTACACCAAATCCAGTCATTCCTGGAGTGGAACCACAGTCGATGGCCTCCACTCCAAACCAACAGATACAGATACTAATGCCGGAAAAAAAATCCCCCCCCAGTACCAACAATACCACCAGTCCGATGACATTCTTCTTTGCAATATACAGGCCCAAAGCCACAACAAAAAACAAAACCCTTTTCATCCGGGGACGCTTGCAAGGGGAAAAGGAAATGTTCAGGGCTTTCACGAGACCCACAAAAAGGGATCATTGGCAACGAATATGGACCCAGGGTTTCAACCTATACAGATGCCAGAGTGGGAAAAGGGAAAAAAAGGGGGGGGGGGTTTGGGCCCGTAATTGCAGAGTCCACTTGTGTGCACAGAACTGCTGAATCCTCAAATGATTTTGTGAAGTTTTTGCAGTAAAGGTCCAGAACCAAAACCATCACGTGGTAGTCTACAAGCCTCCGGGTGCAACACCCAGCAATTCCAGGAACAGCGTTAAAAATTGGGCCCCTGTCTGGAAAATCTGCCAGCTCCTTTTCCCCAACATCTTTTTCCTGGGGGGTTTCAACTTAAGGCACCTAAAATGGAGGAATATAGCAAATAAAATTGTTGCAGTAATAAC